TTCTTAAGAAACTTTAGTGCGAATGAACTCCCGAAACGAAAATGTTTGATGGTTATGCTGCATTGCATTAAGGCTGCATTTGATTTTTGTGGTTCATTGGACTAAGCGATATATTGCAAAGCTTTCTGAAAGATTCGGCTCCAGGTGACAATTCAGACGGTTCCAAATTTCGTCGGTGACAGAAAACGCACTATTTTCACCCCTGGCTGCTGCGACGAGATACTGGCACTGCACGCTTTGTTGAGACGCAGAGCATTATTACGACACTTCAAAATGCAGTGCGGGTTAATGAGCAGGTACTTCACGCCTTGGCCCATGTATTACGAGCTCGTGATATGTGGTCATTAGGTCCTGGGCCCACAGCTGCAACACGCGCTGTGCTGTGCATAAGTGTGCCATAACAGGTTGGAGGGCAAATGCTCTGGGTGGTCATGATACACACGCTGCACAAATGTTTCTTTAAATAGTCGCGATCTTGGTCCATAAGCGGCGCTGAAATCAAAAACTTAAATCAGGTCGCCGTGTAACAAAAATACCGCAGCGCCCGAAATCTGAAATAACCAACCAATCTCGCTATGCCTTACTTGTTACGCGGACATTGACCAGCCATCCACGTGACCCAGGCCAGGACATAGGTTATCCAGCGCTGGATTTTTGTGGTCGGTGGTTCTGGATTAGAGGAATACACGTTTTCTAAGCGCAGACTGTAGCTGCTAGAGATCTGAATTTTGTACATTATGGAAAACTATACAACTGAATTTGAGACACTGCAGTTATAGGCATAGGCCATAATTGTGATATGAAACAACATAGCAATTTTCAACTTAAAGGGAATGTTTCTCACTTGAACATATTAAAGCAAGCATCAGATATGATGCAAGAAGCTCACTTATAATTATTGGTAAGCTTTTTAAGCAGAAAAGACTGGTCTAGACAGCAAAATCAACCGTTTTGTGAATATGCTCCTCAATGCGTCTTTAGACAGCAAAATTTTCTGTTTTGTGAATATGTTCCTCAATGCGTTATGGTTTGGTTACATCAGCGTACTTTGCACAACATGAACGAAAGAGTATAAGTTCTAGAAACACGTTGGAGGGTGTTTGCTATCGATGAATTAAGCCCTGCAAAGCCTTCTCCTCCAACACTGCCAGTGCCCCTGTACCCCGTGAGGTAATGCCTGCGTTTGTTACGTGCCATTTGTAGTTGTGATACGGCCGCTAGCTAAACAAGTTCTCGCGTTTCTCCGCACTAACAACGTCTTAGATTTGAACCGGACCGACGTGTTTACCGGCCATAAGCCCGCTGCGCCGTCCACTCATGCGCTACGACCTGTGTCCTAACCACCGGGACTTTTGGCATGGCCAGCAAGTGATACCTTAATTCAAATGAAACTTCTGAAACGAAATATTTATGATGTTTATGACACATTGCGCTTAGTTTATGTTGTTGCTTGTGCTTTAACACATAGTCACGTTTATCGCATGGTTATTTTGTCGCATAGTTTAGTCTATCGCGTAGTTTAGTTTACCTCAAAGTTAAGTTTATGGCATGGTTTAGTTTATCGCAATTGTTTTTCTTTTATCGATTACATACACACACACACACACACACACATATATATATATATATATATATATATATATATATATATATATATATATATGCTGTGTGTGTGTATGTGTGTATGTGTATGTGTGTGTGTGTTGTGTGTGTGTGTATGTGTGCGTGTGTGTGTGTGTGTCTGTGTGTGTGTGTGTGTGTGTGTGTGTGTGTGTGTGTGTGTGTGTGTGTGTGTGTGTGTGTGTGTGTGTGTGTGTGTGTGTGTGTGTGTGTGTGTGTGTGTGTGTGTGTGTGTGTGTGTGTGTGTGTGTGTGTGTGTGTGTGTGTGTGTGTGTGTGTGTTGCAGTATAGCTTATAGCTATGTTGCGACAGTTGCTGACAGATTTGGCTCAAGGTGACAATTTAGGCCGTTCCGAATTTCGTCGGCAAAAGTAATACCTTTATTCCATCCCTGGGTTAGTGTGCCGTAATGTTAAGCGCAATCCGTATTACCCTCGGATATCATTTCACGTTAAGCGCCAGAGGCGAAAAGGCGTTGTTTTCTATTGTCGACTAAATTTGGAACCGTCTGAATTGTCACATGGGGTCAAATCTTTCTGGAACCGTTGCAATATATCTTTAAATGCAAAAAAACACAAAAAGCAAAGATAAACTAAATGCAATGCGGCATAACTATCAAACCTTTCCGTTTCGGGAGTTCAGTTGCACCAAAGTTTCATTTGCTGGCCATCGAACACTGAATGAAGGTTGAGACTAACCTGACAGAATTGTCAGATAAAGGCATGCTTGACATGGCCAGCCTGATGCATTTAGTTTATCATCCAGTTGGAGTAGCAAAGCGAAATTGTGCCTCCTAACCAGAGATGCAGTTTGCTGCTTCATTTATTATTTTATCCCTTATTTTTCAGTTATCATAGATTAGGAGTTCAGCCCTCAAAAACTGCTTTTGAGAAACTGCACTCCTGCTGCCAGCTGCGAAAAATTGCGTCACATCTGGGGAGGAAGCTTTTTCAGCGCATTTCGGAGGTCGGCTCAACCATCTTTTTCTAGCATTCTCCCTCTTCCCCTCCCATCCCTCACCCCTACGTATCTTGCAAAACCGTATCCCTGTGACCCTACATTTAGCAATAACATGGTTCTATGAGCATCTGAAATAAAATCCCTTTTGTTTTCATGGCGTCATTGCACGGTCAGCTGAAGGCGTTGGCAAGCTTCCTTATCTTGGCATAATCATGGCTGGCGCAGAACTCGCACTTCCTGACATGACCCCAATGATTTAGACCAAAACACATACACTGCTGCCATCAACAATTAGTACCTTCACCTAGCTTCTTATACAATACGATGAAAAGTAAAAACGTTTTATTTCATGCCTGTCCACAGATCATTGCGCTAAGCATGAGATGCAACGGGGAATGTGAGAGACATACACCAGCGATGCTCGACCTCTTACCTCAAAGCCGCTGTTTCTCTCAGTAGCATGAAGCCCCGGATAAATCCTTGACATGTGTCACCCAAACGTACTCCGTTCATCTCTGAAGCTAAAGCTCGGCTTCCACAAACAACAATCATAGATGGGCAGGCCCTTTTAACGCTGTTACCAAAAACCGACGATTAACCACGTCCTTTCTGCCTATCTGTTTCCAATATGTTTGTCCTTTATACCTATATATATATATATATATATATATATATATATATATATATATATATATATATATACCTATAGGTATATCAATCTACCTAATCTGTCTCCAATGGCACGACGTGTTAAAACGCTGCGTGGCAAACTGACCACATTCGTCGCAAGATGCCGCGGCCAGCCACTAATCTTACAACTAGTATTAAGCCTACTTATTTCGTATTTCATACTGTTAAGTATGTAAAGTGAATCTCGGCTGAAAAATCAGTGGAGAGCGCTGACCTGAGGGGCATTGGAAAAGCACTACTGTGTCACCACTTGTCTGTGACGTCATCACTGATGTAGTACAGTTTGTAGTATGTGTCTGGCACCTGCTAAAAACTATCCTGATTAAAGCTTTTGTGTTTTGGCAACATTTTATGGCTTAACCTGCTCCTACAGCGAAACGTCAACGGTTCGATATGTACTCACGCTGAAAGAGTTAGCGAGTATAGGCCAATACTAAGTTCCGAGTTTTGACGAGATGTGAAATTGGTTGTCATGTGGTCTTATCTATTTAAATTTGTTTTCATTTTTGCAAGTTTGCCACCAACTGGTTCACAAAAGTATCAGTTTTTGTCACCGATCATATCCAGTAAATCAAAAGTTTTTCACCTCTGTTAAGAGGGGCCACTGTCACCGACCGCTGGTCATTCCAGTCAGGGGCAAACGGTGAATGCCTCAAGAGTCTCAAAACAGTTCCGTCACGGACAGATGGATCGAAATGCAGCAACAGTAATCAATTCAACTAGCGGGGGGGAGGGGGGGAGGTCGACAATGCTTCATGTCAGCTTGACCAGATTTGACCATGACAACGACATGTTTTGGTGACCGCATTGTGACAGATGCAAGCGTTTTCAGTAAGTTCTGGCGACCATAAACTGGCGGCGTACCTGGGTCAGTGTTATGTCTCTAGTTTTCTGATTCAGGCACCAGTGGGCTGTATAAGAGATATGTGATTTTTTAGAGAGAGAAGGAGATCGGGTTGCCGAGATGAGACACCGGTTTGGAAACATACACCCCTGATCCGTGGAGTCTGGTGTTTGTGTGCTATCACACGTGCGAGGTGGTGGGCGTCGATTCTTCCCTGTGTCTATGCTAATATCGTTCGCAATTTTTCCGTTCTTAATTTTCTTTGCAGTTCAGGTTTTCCCCATATTTTGATATGGGTCCCAACCCAAAATTTGACCACCCAGAGGCATGGTTACACCCATGCACACAAATACATGACCTCGTGAAATGTGTGAAGATCGGGCCGGATCTCCAAGTCGAAAATGTTTGTATAAAACTAGTAAACTCATCCAACCTGCACCCTCCATCGTGATGGCAGTCTGTAGCTGCTGCTGTAGTCTGTACTTGGACGCCCCAGTGAGTACCACTGTTGGGAGCCCTCCACCGAAGAGTCGCGCCCTGGCAGAAATCTTTTGAGCACGCCCGCCCGTCTGTCCGCCCGTCCGCCGTCCGTGCGTCTGTCCGTTACGTCCGTCTGTCCGTTGTGTCCATCTGTCCGTTAGGTCCGCCTGTCTCGTGCATTTGTCTGTCGGTGTGCCACTGCTCCCGTCTGCTGCAGCCACTGGCGGTGAACGTGATGATCGGCAGCGGGCGGCTGCCTTCGATGAGTTCTCCCGACTCGCCACCCGAGGGGCCGTCGCCCGACGAGCCCGATAACGTCGGAGGCCGCGGGCGGGCCGGCGCACGGCGCGCCGGGACTGCCTCCAAATCAGCCGCCCGCCCCTGCTCCAGAATCGCCTCCAACCCAAATGGTGGCTACCACTGCGGCTACTGCGGCAAGTACTTCAGCAGCCGCAGCAACATGGTGGTACACGAGCGCACGCACACGCATGAGCGGCCGTACACGTGCAGCCACTGTGGCCGCACGTTTTCACAGCATGGACAGATGGTGATCCATGTTCGCTCGCACACGGGCCAGCGGCCGTTCAAGTGCTCGCACTGTGACAAGGCGTTCACCTCGAGCAAGGTGCTCAAGATCCACATCCGCACACACACCGGCGAGAAGCCATACCCGTGCGAGCACTGTGGCAAGCGGTTCGCCGCTTACGCCAACCTGGTGGTGCACCGGCGCATCCACACCAAGGTGCGGCCGTACAAGTGCCAGAAATGCGAGCGCACGTTCGAGCACAGCGGCAACCTGCAGCGGCACGCCCGGGTGCACGGGTGCGAGCTGTCGGAGGACGAGGGTGAGGATGTCCCCCCGGACGCCGAGAGTGGGCTGACAGCGGCGGCGGCGGCGGCGGAGGCGGCGAAGACGGCCCGGGCGGCGACCGAGCTGCGCTGCCGACTGTGTCAGGTGGCATACAGCGGCTCGGCGGAGCTGCTAGAGCACCGGTGTCCGCGACTGGCGCAGCGGCCGCGGCGCGGCGCGGCAAGCGGCGACGCGCAGCTGCTCACCCTTAGCCAGCTGTTCGAGTACATCCAGCAGCTGCAGCGGCAGGCACAGCAGCCGGCGGCGGCGGCCCGGACGGGAAGGCCGACGGCGGCGGCTGGACCGGCACAGCCGACGGCGGCAGCTGGACCGGCACAGCTGGCCGAAAGACAGCAGGAGGAGGGAGATGCAGAACGGGATGGACAACAGGAGGAGAGGGAAGGGCAAGACAAAGGACAGCAGCAGCAGCACGAACACTGTGAGCCAATGGATCATGACCATCAGGGACCGTCACAAAACCAGGGCCCCCAATCGGAAGGTAATCCACGGCAGCAAATGCGTGCAACGGAACAGTTTCCACGTCCAAAACAACAAGAATGCCAGGCGTTTCACCGGCTGCAGCAGCTACGGCAACATCAAAGCAATGAACATAAGGAACCGCAAGAAAACAGGCACGAGGAAGCGTCTCAATGTGGCATCCAACAAATCGAGTCAGCTCAGAATTTGGAGCACAGTTCGCATCAGTATGAACAACCGCTTGAATGCCCGGTCCAAAACCTGCACCAGCATCAGCAGTACCAGCCGCCGTTCACCCAAACCCATCTCCCAGTGCGCAGCAGAAATTGCTACCATAGTCCACGTGAACATTCACAGGAACAAGATGGTGCACCACAGCAAGTTGAGCAGGATCAAGTTTTGTACCAGGGTCAAAATGTACCCCTCGAATACACCACTCCGTACAACATTCCAGATCAATGGCAACAGCAACAGCATTATCCCACCCATTCGCCGCAGTTGCTGCTCCTGGAGCCCCCACAGCTGCCACGACAGGAGAGTCAAGACAAACCGTCTCAGATAACAAGACAGCAAAAGCAACACAAAAAACGGCAGCAGGGACAGCCTCGACAGAACCAGGGACCACAGCAATGGACCGGAAGCCAGCAGCAGCCGCAGCGAAGCTCGGAACCGCAACTGCTGTATTGGCACCAGCACCACCACGAACGCCAGCCCCCACGTGATTTCCCGCCGCCGTGCCCGCAACATATACCCGATCAGCACCACCGGCCAGCACCGCCGCCTCCGAAGCGGACCCCTCCGCCGACGCCGCCGTCGGTGCGCGTCTCCTCGCCGCGCCGCCGGCCGGCCACGGAGCTGGGTGGCGTGCCTCTCCGCGTCTCGGCCGCCGCCAGCTGCGACGCCGTCACGCAGACCGAGCCCAGCTGGCGGCGGCGCGGCGCACTGCCGGCGCCGGCCCGCGTCGAGAGCGACGCGCCGCCGGCCCGACGGCAGCCGAGCTCGGCGGCTGAGGGCCCGGTGTCGCGCGGCCCCCCCGACCAATCAGCAGCGACCAGTTCCAAGTCGCCTGGCTTCGTCAGCCAGTCGGCTGCGGAGGGCGTTGTATCACGCGATTTGGGGGGCCATCCGGCGACAGGTACCGTAACGTCACAGGGCTTCGTCACTCAGCCGGCAGTGGACGGCTTGAAATTGCACTCTAGCACAGTTCAATCGTCAACCAACGGTTTGCATTCGCAGGGCGTCGTCAGCCAATCACCTACAGCTTGCCCGCCGGCATACACCTATCCCGACCAATCAATGGCGAATGGGCTGACGCCACTCTACTACGGCGCCCGGATGAATGGCGTGACGGCCCTGGGCTACCCCGGCGCCGTGGGCGGCGCTGGTGTCGTGGTGCACAATGCCGTCGCACCGCCGACGGTGAGAGGCTTGACGTTCTGCCACGCCTCTCCGCCGGTAGAGCACAGCCTGCCGCTGCCAACGCGCACCGTCACCGGCTCGTCGCTCCTCGGTCGGAGACCGGGCACCGCGTGGCAGGCGCGGGGTCCGGGCGTGGCCGCGGCGCAGTCGGCTGCTGCAGCCGGTGGCGCGCCACGCCGCCCCGCTCCGGTCGGTGGCGGCGCCGCCGCACCGGCCGCCGACCCGCCTTGCCACAGCAAGCCAGCGGCGACGGGCGCCGCCCGGCCTCGTGCCGCTCCGTGTCGCCTCGTCGAGCGGGTCGGCCGTGCCCCACGGGCCCCCGGCGGTGTCGACGTCGCGGCGCGGGGTCCCGATGGACCCCAGGGCGCCCCCCCAGGCGCTCCCTCAAGCGCCACCGGACGGCTGCAGTCCGTCCCACCGGCTGTCTGCCAGCCAGCTCTGAGAGCGCACGTCATGGCTGGCAATGCGCTGCAGAATGCTACGCGTCAGCGGGTGTAGTGGTGTCTCACTGGTGACGTCACCGTCGTCACAGTTGAGCCATGAAACCATCGGGACCATTATGAGCTCACAGCGCACCTTGAAGGCGTTGGTTATACAATGACATGACGTCGAGTCAGTATACCCTGCCAGTTGACTTTCAATGGTTGCCAATGTATAGCCACCAAGTGGGGTTAGTCAGGACCAAACAGCTGCCTGTCGGGCTACCCTTCTGTCGGAAAACATTTAGTTACAGGGTAGGCTCCGTATGTTTCAACGTCTAACCATTGTTTTATGTGTCATACGCATTTACGGGTTATTGTGACTCACCGCACGGTACATGTTCTAATTACATAGCATTAATTGCTCCGTTGTTTTGCTTAAGATGATGGCATTTTGTTATTTTGAGGGGTGTTGGGCATTGTTGGCATGTGCTGCCAGGGGCAAGTAAACTGACTTTTGAGCCGCCCCATTGCTGTGAGGAGAGACTTATGGGACTAGGGGCTGAGGCGTGTTTCGCCAGACGATGGCTGTTCGGGGCTGTGGCGCACCACATTTGTTATCAGTGCTCGGGAACAACAGTGAAATGAGTTTTAATACACGGTAATATGGTTCGTTGGCAGTGACTGGAGCGCTGAAGAAGCTCGGAAATGTGTGGGCATGTCTTGCCCACAACAGTCTTTGCAACTTACTAGCAGGCTTAAAGCTTAAGCATCAGTGAAAAACATACCATAAGACCTATTTCAACCCCACCCCTAATGCGCTTAGGGTGTTGCAACAGTCATGTTCATGACGGCATTTGTCTATGCGTAAAAAATGACGATCAGCCTCTCGCAAAAACGATGGTCCGTGCAATGCCGCGGCCGATGGTATGTCGTATCACGCATACATTTCCTTATTCAGGTTCCTGAAGCATGATATCGTGCGTTAACGACTCGTACGCTCTACCAGTAACGCAGCACGCCGACCTAGTCGTAGCTGAACCGTGCGAAACATTGCAAGTTGAGCGGCCTGGCCCTGCAGGGCAACCACACTTTTCAGAGCATAATATCGTTGCAACCGCCAATCGCAGCTTCGAGGAGTTTTTAGCAACAAAAATGCAATTAAACATGTTTTGTGTGCAATTTACTGTTCATTTGTACGCAAGCTGTAAAGTCAGGCGGTTTCTGCAACATTGCAATATTACCCATTTCACCCTTCTCCATTCCCAAGTAAGATGAGATAAAAATGAAACGCCTTTGTGCACAAATGCAGCCACACATGCCTGGAGTTACGCCAACAATGATGCTGAACGTTTGCAAATCACACTAAAATCAGCGCAGGATGCAAATACTTGAAGGATTTTCATATCACAGCAGAAAGGATTTCAACCAGTTGTGCAAAGTTTGTTGTGGGGACGTACGCAACTTTCTTTGCATCGCGTTCACGACAAGAAACTAGCGCCATACAACACCGATGTAGAGAATAATAGGGCGGACAGCGTCCAGTACCCTCGACTGATGCACGTTGGTGATTACCAGATCTAGTACTTTTTCTAGAATTAACGTCATGGACTGAAAAATGTGTACAAAGGGTACCGTTAGACATAAAATAAAATTCATTCTTAGTTGGATGCATGAAGGTTATCTTTCGTATGTGAATGGAATTGCATGAAAACAATACTTGCCTTGTCAAAATGTGAAAAGAATACCAAAACCTCACACAGACATTTAAAAAACTGTTTAGAAAGCTTTCGGTGCATTAATCCATCATGAAAACGGCCACTGCAAACTTATGGTCTTCAGTGGACAGTGAGGGGGTCTGGAGTTAGGATAATAAATATACGTGGAAATATATGAAAATAGGATAATACTTGCACTTCAGCAAGATATCAGACCAGCAGCAAGGCGCTAAATTGGGCCTGAAGAAGAGGAAGCACTTGAGGACACTCACTAAGCAGTCAAACATTTTATGCTCCATCCCATTCTTGTGGTGCTAGCCATGTCCGTAGTGATGCAATTTTTCCACCTTCTTGTTCATAGTTGCATCACCCCTCCAACCAAATGAAAATATATTTCAGGGCACTAATGCGCAGACCTCTCGGCTTCGAAGAGCTTTCGCACACTGCCAGAAAGAAGTGGATGGGTCAGAGTGAGAACACCGATCCATGCGCAGGGTGAGTCGGGAAACTGCGCTACTTTGACCGCACCGGTCAGCGCTGGTTTACTACGTCTTAGGTCCAGTGGTGGCTCGTTGACTTCTACGATCAGACTGGTGGAGCGAGTTGTCCGGTACACCCCGTTTACTATACGGACGCCGAAACAGACGTAAGACACAGACACCTGACAGAGGACTGGTTCTTGGCGGATGTGAGGGCGTTGTTATAGGTTGTGCGTGCGTACTCAATAACAGAACGCACGAGGCCTTCCTTCAGCCTGAGAAGGCTGCGCCCGTCTGCTCCACTAGTGGTGCCGGAACCGGCAGGCAGATGTCTCACTCGCTGTGCAAGCCAACAGGGATACACTGGGGACACCCCTGAGGCGCACCATTCACCAGTTTAAAGCGCTCAGACAAAGCTCCGTAGACTCGAACACGACAAAATCTTCGCTGCAAAAGTTTGGCAATTAACTGCCCGTATAACCCGGCCAGCCTCATTGAAAAATCATGGACAAATGCCATTGCATCATAGGCATCATAGGTATACTCAATGTCGAAAAACACAGCAGCCACATCCGTCCCTCTTATTTCCTATCTCGCTTCGTCCTGCATCCTCGCGACACCCCGCTTGTCCGGGGCGGGCTGCATACGTCGGCCACGAGTGGGCCGAGAGCCCCGTGGGAAGGGGGACCCCGACCGGGTACCCAGCGCGCATGCGCGGGTTAAGCCCCGGCAGTTGTCCCCCAGGCGCATGCGGGTCTGCTCCACCGTTTTCCTTCATCCCATAGCCCTGAAATGGTCATTTCTGGTCGAAAGGGCTCTAATAAAAAAACAAACAAACAAACACAGCAGTATACATCCCATCCGTCCCTCTTATTTCCTATCTCGCTTCATCCTGCATCCTCGCGACACCCCGCTTGTCCGGGGCGGGCCGCATGCGTCAGCCACGAGTGGGCCGAGAGCCCCGTGGGAAGGGGGACCCCGACCGGGTACTCGCGCATCAGCGGGTTAAAGCTCGGCGGTTGGCCCCCCAGGCGCATGCACGTCTGTCCCATCGTTAACCATTTTACTTCATCCCATAGCCCTGAAATGATCATTTCAGGTCAAAAGAGCTCTAATAATAAAAACAAACACAGCAGTACACACATTAAGGAACAACGACCCAGTCGCCGACTGTGTCCGATTGGCAATACCATTCCTGATAGAAGCGATTGCTCCTGTTGCGGTTTCTGCCAGTGAGTTCTTTTTTCTCATCGTCGTTTTCGTTGTTTGTTTTGCTCTTGGTCCAAAACTCGTATCTTTCACTTGAGTTTAGTTACTCTCTTCCCGCCGACCCACTATGGGGAAGCGCGGAAATCGCAAGAAGGATGACACCGACACAGATTCGAACCCGGCTTCCGACATTGATACGCTCTTGGATACAGACGACGGAAGTGCTGCCGGCCCCGCTTTGGCCGCAGCATCGCTTGATGATTCTTGCGCGCCCCAGGACATGACCGTTGGTACGCACACTTCCACCGCGTTGGCTGGACAGCAGACGTTTCCGTCCAACGCCCCCGGTTCCGACCCTCGCTTCAGACTATCTGCGGCCATGCGACCTGAAAAATGAAGCACCGACAAACGGATCACTCGTTATCAAAACAACCACTCGCGCACGGAGCAGGGCTATTCTCAAAACAACGGAATTCTGTAGCAAGCATGTCAAAGTGTCTATCCACCACGCCCGAAACACTACCAATCGCGCCTGATCTCCGTTTCATGACGGAGGAGGAGATCCTGGCGGAGCTCGGGGGCGAAAATGTTTGTCACATCCGACGTCTGACGACCTTCAGAGATGGCCAGCGTCACAACACCAGCCTGCTTGTTCTCACTTTTTCTAACACCCGACTTCCCAAAACGCTCGCAGCTGGTGACCTCCGTTATGAAGTTACAGTGTCCACACTAAATCCACTCAGGTGTTTGAAATGCCAGCGGTTTGGACGCGGCAGCAAGTTTTGCAAACAAAACGCCAGATGTCTCAAGTGTGGCGAGACCCCTCACGAGAGGTGTGCCTGTACATCACCTCAGAAATGTTTGAGCGGTGGGAGTGCTGATCTTGCCGCCAACTCTTCTCAGTGTCCAACTTGGAGAAGAAAAAATTGTTCTGAAAAGGCCAAGACAGGTGTGTCGTATCCCGAGGCACGGCGCGCTGTTGAGTCCAAGATATCATGAAAGTCCAGCAAGGCATATGCACAGGAAGCAAAGTCACAATGGTCACATGTGGAACACAAACAGACTACATTATCTAGCTGCGTCCCGTGAAGCTCCTTACCCCTCGCTCCTCTGTCTCAGCTGAGTCAACTACACAGACCCAGACGAAAATTGCCGTTGAGTCGCCCCTGGCTGGGCGCTCGGATGCGCAGGCGCCCGTGCACCCCCGTCCCCAGGTTGGCCAGCGTTCCAGCCCGCCGGCTATGAACAGTCGGTGGCCCGGTCCCTCTGGCCACCACTCGAACGTTACCTCTCCTCCCCTCCACCAAAATACCTGTCGAAACACGCCCGAACGAAGACCGCCGGTCCCGTCCACCAGTGAGGGTGGCGATGGGACGACCTCGGTCTGTCTCGTTCGGCCGATTCCCATCAACCGGTGGGGATTGGTTTCTTCATCATTAAATCTCCTTCATCTTACACTGGAATTGTCGCGGTCTCATTTTAAAATGGTCTGAAATAAAAGTACTTTTTCTCGTCTTAGCTCCAATCATCGTTGCCGTACAGGAAACACGGCTTCGTCCCACCGACACATATAACTTTAAAATGCCAAATTAGTCGTTGTATCGCTGTGACACCACGGACGGTGAGCGTCGCCAGGGTGGGGTGGCACTGTACATGAGTCAAGAATTAAGACA